GACAACAGTGCGAGCACTCACAGATTCCTTGCTCGCCTGGTCCTCCCCCCAACGCCACATGCCTGAACATACATGCATGTACAAGCATGCACAATCATTCGCATTTATGGTGCACAGTCTAAACACACAGACGTGCACATCCCCTTATGTCAGTTATGTCTGCGTGCACACATGTATTCCCACACGCACACACCTTGACCGACCCTTGTGAGCTAGGTTGGGTGCGGAAGGAGGTGATTTCGAGTGCTAGAAAGCGATGTGGGGAGAAGGGCTCTGGTCTAGTAATGACAATGTGGCATGTACGCTATTTTCTGATCGGCGGTGGAAATCTAGAGTGATTCTTGCCGGAAGTGTTGTGGTTCTGCTCTAGCCACTTCGAGCCACATCACCCTTCGAGACAGGTTCGCAATACCAGATGCGTGAACCAACACTCGAGTAAACAAGGCAAGATCAACGGACAGAACAACTTCAAGCCAGCTAGACGGATTTAACATGCTGGTCCGCCATCTGCTGGTATGTGGTATGGGCTTATGCTCTGCTCACACAGACGCAACCCGGGCATGTTTGTTCGCATTGGCGGGAAGATAGATGGATATTCCCTCCTGCATCGATTGTAAACCAGGCACAACCACCGAAGGGAAACCTTCTACTGGTGCAGAACGCACATGCAAGTAATCAAAGTTCCTAGTAGCATAGGCAAGATTTTTGGGGCTTGTGAGCCACTGAAAGGCTGACCTTTGCAGTACCCTGAAGGTGTCAAGCCGAAGGGAGCTGATGCTCTGGCTGTGCATGGCCTGGCTCCTCAGAGAGGGATCCCCCAAAGGCAGCAACATCAACGCCCATCTGTAGGGCATCCTGCTCGCAGGGTTCTGCATGAGGGGTCGTCATTTTCCGCAACTCTCTTCTCCATTCAGGGTTGTTACTGCAGTCCTTGTGTCGCATTCTTCCCGCTTCCGATTGTGTCATGCCGAAGGGTTTAACTTGATCTCTAAAGTTGCAAAGGGTCTGGTGACTTCTCGAGTCTTGTGGGGGTGGGGCCCCCTGATGTTAAACTCGGCTTCGGCTTCTGTCTTTAAACCAGAGCTCGGCTAGGTGAAGTCACAAACCCTCGGGGTACACTGTGGGATTTCCGGCTGTGCATAGTCCAGTCTATTCGTTCTGGTCGTTGCGTGACGACTTTACGGTCTTCCTTTGGATGGCTTTCTGAGAGGTCTCGAGCCTTAGTTTCTGAAAGGTTTGCTACATCCTGAATTCCTGAATCCTTGACCTTGGCACTCTAAGACTCCGAATCCGCAATGAACATCACGTTTTCTTGGGCATCGGCCCCTAAAACTTCCACCTCCCCAGGCAGAGAACCGCTGCCTGAAGAAGGAAGGCGTCGAAGATGAAAGTTGAAGAGACTGGAGCCCTCCACTCCGTTGACTTAGGGCCGTTTAGCTACTCCCTTCCCCCATTTGTTAACCACCCCCCTAATCATAAACACACTTTGGGGCCAATCCTCCCGAAATCATCCCTGCCCTTTAACACCTAATTTGCATTAGGGGGTCCGGAGCAAAAGCAGGAAGAGCAAGAGCAAAAGCAAGAGCAGGAGTAAGAGCAAGAGGAAACGCAAGCGTCAAAAGCAAGAGGAAGAGCAGAAGCAATAGCAAGAGCAACAGCAAGCACAAGAGCGAGAGCAAGAGATGCAGCAGGAGCAGGAGAAAGAGCCAGAGCAGAAGTAAGAGCAAGATCCCTCAAAAGTGAAAGTAGAGATAGACATAACCTCCAATAATAATGCCACTTTCCGAGGTTTTATTGGGGGGAGGGGAGGCCCCCGTTTTGATATTTCGGGGAAGGGATGAGTGGTTTTCGGTGTATAGGATTCAAGGGTTGAGGTTCCGAGTCGGGTGTAAAGGTGCAATGTCGGTTTTGCATTTGGGGGCGCAGGTCAGCCACGTCTTGATTCAACATCTGGTCGAAACTGGCTGTACATGCACTGCCTCTTCGTAGCTGAGGTTGAAGGTTAGTGTAAGGCTGCATTGCTGCAGGAGCATGTACAGCCCTTCTTTGTTAAGTGCCACTCCACCTCTTCTGACTGTCGGCCCTCAACCACAAACCCTGAGCCCTAAATGTAAGGGGGTTCTCTGCTTGGAGGTCTTCCTTTAAATCGGTGCAGCTACTATGACCTGATGTCCAGGCGCGCAGCGGTGTGGTGAAGGGATTATGGGAGTTGATTACGGGGTTACAGAACGTTCGCGGCTTCAGATCCTCAAGCGGTGCGGTTGCCTTGTGGCGCTATTGCAGCAATCGCACGGCCTGGACAGCGAGGATATAGGTTATTCCGAGACTTGGTCAGGATACTTATCTTCACAGCTACAACATTCCTTAAGCATCCGTTTTGTCACGAATGTGAGAATATTTCGTTATTTAGGGGGACATTGAAGTCTCTGGATGCGGCGCAGCCCGAAGGTGGAGGTATGCAGATGGCTACCTCTGAGTCCGGCACAAAGGACCATAACCGGCTGTCTCCAATGTTGTACATAGCATGACCTAGGGCTGCGAGCTGGAAGTGCAGAAGGACGAGGGATCCCGCACGAAGCCGAGAGAAATGATCTCTTCAATGCAGCTCTCCTGGCCAGCGATTGCAGACTCAGAGAGTCTCGCAGCTTCACGCTGCTTTCGAGCTCCGAATCTAAAGCGGCTGAAGGGTTCTCCAGGCCAGACATGCTTACAATTTCGTGCGCGTGATCGCTAGCCGCTTCGCGCGCAGCTTTGAGGTTCGGAGTGTCAGGAGGCCGGATGACATGTTCTAGGTAAGTGCACCACCACATGGGAACACCCCCTCCCACCCCTCCCCTCCCCCCAACACTCCCTTCCCTCCTTCCACCCTTTCCCCCTTGCCAAGCTTAAAGCAACTTCTTTGCGTGCACGTTGCCAAACAGATCATGGCATGTGAAATTCGCGCATGGCCGCGCGATGGGCCCGCCAATGGCTCAGTTTCGGAGAGGAACCTTCGCTCGTTCTGGGCTTCATGGCAGAATGATTCGTCGTTGTTAGCAGCCTATCCAGTGGTTTCGTGGATGCTCTATGGAAACCACTGTTGTGGGACAAGATATTCTGGGTTTTGGGGCATATGATTTAGGTGTAGATACACACACACGCACATGCCGTGCAGTGATGTGAAGAACATGTGTTCGTGTGCTTAGACTTCGCGCATGTCTCTGTGGTCCGACCATGGGATGCAGATGTTGCCCAATTAATGCTATTATGTCACATGTCTTTGCCAGCGTCATCAAAAGCCAAGCAGGTGAGTATGAGGCCAGCGAAAGCTTTAACCTTTCGAAGGCCCACAGTGTTTTCTGTTCAGTGTGAACCCCCAAAAGCGTCCAATCTCTCAAGGAGGGGCGGGTTTTTAGCACTGGGGCTTGGGCTCAACCGAGGGTTCCACCCGCTCCGAGTTTGGGTTTAGGGAGAGAGGGTTTTTGTCGCTGGCCACCCACCCGCCCAGGCCCAGGCTCCTCACAGGACGGGCGTCGTCGTCTTTTTCGTGGAGGGGGGGTCGCGTTGTAGGTCCTGGAGTCTTGCCGGGTTTTCTTGCAGAGTTCTTTATCAAGTGTCCCAAGATCCAGGAAGAGACACAAAGCCATGATCGTAAAGTGAAGGACGCAGCGACCGACCTCTGTTCGGCAACCGAAGGAGGTGGACTTAGAATGCAGGGCCTCTGAATGCAGCTCACACTCAGCTCAAGACAAGTAATGGGTTTCGAGGTTGACGGCCTCAGCTTGTTGAAGAACTTCGAGTTTGACGCTTGCCGATGGGGACTTCAACATCTGGCATGTGGCAACACGACATGACGGTTCTGCAGAGTTGCACATCCTGAAATTCTTAACGGTCTTAACGCCTCGGACGCCTCTCCACCTCGCAACCGACCTGAAGTGAGCAGGTTCGGGGCGCCTCGCATCGCGTCCTCTTTGGCACTTCTGCAGCCGTCGGCTGTGCTGCCGGGTTGTCTGGGGGCACCAGGCTCGAAAGAATGCATGCCTCTGCCAATTTCAGGTCTGAGTCACGACCGTTAAGCTCCCACCATCATCATGATCGTGATCATCGTCATCACCGTCATCCTCCTCCTGCTCAGAATCATCATGGTCAGGATGGCCAGCAGAATGACACTGTTCGGATTTTCGGTCGCTATGTCCTTGAGTTCGGTTGAGCTTCGAGTACTTCTTGTGATTCTTGGCGCGACCTGTCAGTATCACCACTGTGATGGTTGCTATATTGTTGTTGCTGTCCTACGTCCACGAATCGGTCAACCGAGATCAGGCCCAGCATCAAAAATGGAAGGGGCATGTTCTTGGCTCCGCGCATTGCAGGAGCCACGCCTAGTCACTTGTGAACTTCAGCCATTTTGGCTTCAGAAAAGCGCGACCTTGACCAGCCGAGATCCCTGGGCCAGAGCGCAACACAGGCAAGGCGCTGCAGCGGTAGTCTGAAGATCACATATTTTTTGGGGTCCAAGCCAAAGAGGGGAGCTTGATCTTGCTGCGCTTGGGGCAGAATTTTTGGATCTAGCTGCTGGGGTTGAAGCTTCCGTGGGCCTCAGCAGTAGGATCATGGCTTCGGCATTTTGTTCGATGCTCTGAGAAGCTTCAGGACTGAGCACCGAGCGCCCGAAGCCCTTCCGGGATTTCATGCTCTTGGGTTGCGCCTGCTGAACGCGAAATCTCAAGTCCATGAGCAGCAATAATGCTAGCGCCGCTCCGGCCACTGTCATGAGCTTTCGCACTTTTCATATCTGCGGTGATTGTTGTTGTCGTCGTCATAGCCGCCATCCACAACGACCACCGACACCGCCACCACTGTCTGAATCTCTCCGTGTGCGCATGCAGGTAGAGTTGGCCTCTATACAGTTCTTTGCATAGAGTTTACCTTCGTGCGTGCATATAGGTTCGACGAGACTTCGCCCCGCCCGAGCGCTCCAGCGCCCCTCAGCGCACACATCGCCCTTGGAGCCTCCCAGGAAGATGTACTACGAGCCAGCCTTCGTGATGTGCACGCGCGGGCAGAGCGCCTGCCAGCCACCGCCTGGGCTCTCGCCGCCAACGCACATCAACTGCGAGCCTTGGAAGGTACAGGCCTTATTCGAGTTTGGATTGGGTAAAGTGCCTTCAGGGGCCACATGTTTGGCATGTGGGGCAACTGTGGCCGCCTTCTCGAGCCCACCTCCACGAACAGATGAGGCGGCGCGTTCGAAGTCTCCCAACCCAGTCTTGTTCTTGCTTGTGAATTCTCAGTGGGCGGAGTTCAGAAGGTGCAACAACCGCATGCTTTGATTGCCTTCGGATTGCCATCTGACATGAGCCGAACACTGCTCCACGAGGTCGCAGTGGACCCGAAGATCTTCGACACCCCTTCGATCTCACAAGGCAGGGTTGGCACAGCCTACTGGGCAGCTGACGATTGTGGGAGCACAGAGGACCGCGTTTTTTATTTGTATTTTGGGGGGTGGGGGACGTGCTAAACTCTTGAATTTCAGTTTCGGAGGTTCAGGCTGTCGTGGCACGAGTATCAAGTGTCTTGGCGTCGCCGTGAGCTTGCACGGGGGAAGTGGCTTCGGGGGGGGCCCGCCTGAGCCCTGGCCTCGACGACAGCCGAAGGCCAAGCCTTCAAGCCTGGGGCTACAGGGTGTTAGGACATGTTGAGTTTGCAAGACGGCTGGTCGAGGGCTTCGGACTTGCATAACGTGTTGCTCTCGCAGGCGTTGGGGGTTGCTGTAGGTTCTTCCAGTCCCCCAGCAGGGGCCCAGAAACGGAGCACTGAGCATGTCGGTTTTGGCTTTTGCAGGACGGAAGTGATCGAGATACGACCTCGGAAGGATCCTCCGTGCAGGCCTGTCGGTCTCAAATTGCGCAGCTTTCGACCTTGGAGACTGCAAAGAGCGCACCTCGACAAAACGTTGAGGCCCATGGCTCCTGGCGCAGCGAAGCGCAGTGGCAGCAGGACCCGGATTAAGAGAGGCCTGAGTGATCGCTGTAGCCTCAAAGCTTAGACGCAGGGGGGTCTGGATTTCCGCGAATCGAGGGCGACGCCGGCACGCACAACCGTGGTCACAGCACAAAGGGGACCGAGAAGAGCACACAAAGCAGTAAGAAAGCATAAACGGGGAGTGACTCCGGCTTCGTGTCGTTCGCTTCCTTGCTCGAAGAACAACTTACGTAGTATTCAAGCAGATTCGACAGTTCGGCTGCGTCAGTGTGGTGTCTGTCTCCGCATGCGTCTGCCTGCCCATCGGTCTTTCCGTCCTTTGTCCATTTCTCTGGCTATCGCACTCTGATCTCACCCTCTTTCTTGTCTATCTGTATCTGTAATATCTATATGCATGCTCGCATGCATGCATCTATAGATGCATTGACCTGCAATCCTACATGCTTAGCTAGTTAGCGAGCTAGTAGCTAGCTCGCTACCTACGTACCACCGTGCATGCATGCATGCGTTCATACTCATGTGTACATGTGCGTTTCTTAGGTTGGTCGCTTGTATTGCGGGATTGATGCCTTCTCGTTGCGGCACGTTGACCCTAGTATCGTTCGACCGATCCGGCATCTGCAACCCCGCAGCCCGCACTACCACGACCACGTCGACTCATTTCAAGCCCCGAAGTTGAGGCAGCTCCCCAGGGCCCCGTATTACAACCCCAAGCGCAAGCCCACGCCAGAAGGCAGTTTGGGCCGGAGTCCGAAGCGCCGTGGCCGTGTTCTAGCGAAGCCTTACCTGATTCGGAGACATCTTGAACTCCACAGCGGCTGCGAAGGATCAGAAACCTTGGCCACAAGCTGCAAACACAAATTCGGCCGTGTTCTCAGTCGCCCGATGATTGAAATACAGAGATGCGGCTGCCGCCAAAGCTGCCTACTGCTGGCCAGGCAGCGCAATCGCTTGAGAACCCGGAGTTCCCCAACCATTTCATCAACCACGGATAATTCTATCTCAGACTAGAAGGCACACAATCATTGATACGCACAGCCGAAAGCACCATCATGCCAGTAACCAGTGCAAAGGTAAGCCTTAAGCATCGTCTTTATAAGCATCCTGGCAACAGTAACAGTTGTGGTGGTAATACCTGTTTGGCAGCTGGCCAGAATGTGCCGTATGAAGACGGTTCGAAGGCTGAAAGAAAGCTCTCCTCATCATCAGATACCTTGACCTTGTCCTAGAACCCTTTGTGAAAAGGTTCGAAGACCAGATGAAAGAAGGCTCAGGTCATCAGATACACTGACATTGAATGGCGATGTTTGTTGACAAACCTCCTCAATTCAAAACCCTCCACCAACCTGAAGAGCTCAGGCTTTAGCAGGTTCAGTTAGGCGCATGCATGGCTGACATGTGCCCTCTTTTTTGGTGAGAGAAGACCCGGACATGACAGCCGTGACTTCATTGTGACTTCATGGCATGCCTAGAGAGAGAACTGACTAGGGAGTCTCGAGTCCTACTGCATTCCTGGTGGCCGCTTCTGGGGATCTGCTGTGCAGTTTGTTGGTGCAGCTGTGTGCTCCGAGGAGCGGGAACACGCCGCCACACCGAACACAAGTGTCGTGCACTCGACGTGCCGTTGGCACAAGTCGGCAAGCACAGTGGCTTGTCGGAAGCGCACGACACGATAATTAGTTGCCCTCGCCAGCCATCATAGCTGATTGAAGCTAATCTCACTTACAGCATGGCAAGAACGACAAAAGCGACGTGTCTCAGCACTACTATGCCGCCGTTGAGGGAAGAGTTTTAAATCCTACTCTGCGACTGCCAACGCTGGTGCTGCCGTTGCAACTGCTACTGCTACCGCTATTGCTGCTGCTGCGGCTGCTACTCGTCCTCGTAATTTTTTATTAAGTATTTCGGCAACTGCCACGTTCAGGATTGCAGTGCTTCATACAAGTTAGAGTCAGTTAGAGGACCTGGTAAGCCGTTCGCGACAGCTTGTCGAAATGCTTGAGCCAGTCCCAAATTTCAAACCGTGAATCGGGAACTACCCTTCAAAAGCCAACAAATGCACAGGACCTTCTTGTAAGTAAAGGCAAGTAACGTTGACAGGTTACCTGTGCATACATGTGCACGTGCACTTTAGTTGTCCCGTGAGTTCGGTTGCATGTGTATAATGTGCATGCATGCGTGCATGCTTGCCTGCTTGTGTGAGTGAGTGCATGCATGAATGGATACATGTATGCATGTATGTATGAATGTATGCACTTATGCACGTGGGCATGTGGGCATGTATGCACGTATGCACGCATGCATGTATGCGTGTGCTTGTGTGCATGTCCATATGCCCGTCTGCACGCATGTGTGTGTGTGTGCGCACGCTGGTGCATCATTATATGCACAAGTAAGCACATATATGCTTATATACCTCTTTAGTTATATGAGGGCTGTATACTTATATAAGCTTGTATGTATATATATATATACACACACACATACTAACATGTTTGCATGAACATATATACATGGCATCCCTCTATGCGTACTAATTACTCATATTTACATTTTCAATACATATGTTTATATACACATATATACACATGCACGCGTACAAATGATAGTTGTACACACATGTATATGCTCAGAGCCGTGCTCGATAGCGAGGTGGGATCGATCTCGACAGACGGTCACGTCTTCACCAAGTCGGCGAGTGGCCAAAAGGCTAGGCAGCTGCGTGGTCTGGGGTTTGAGGTTTACCGTTTGGGGTGTGAGAGAAGGTTTGAGGGTTTCGTCATGATGTTGAAGGATAGCGAGGGATGGTGCGCCGTGGTTGTTGTTAAGCTTTGGGTGCTGGACTTGTGTTACTCAAGCTGATGTCGTGCTTGCAGGATGGGGGTATGACTTCAGAGCTTCAGTGTTGCCGTAAGCACGGGCCTAGGAAGCTTGTCGATTCAGCTGTCAAGCTGCATCATCGCGACTCAACGTAGAGTCCAGAGGTTCACTGCGTGCGTTGAGGTTGGAAGATGACAAACCTAGCTGCGAAACGGCCTTTTGAAGGCATCCTGAGCCGAAACGGCTTGAACATCCCCTCGCAGTGGCGTCTCGTAGAGAGGTCGTCATCAACGACCGCGGAATGCCCATGGAGCTCAGCTCCATCTGCTTCGCGGCTGCTCTTGGAGCGCGCTTCAACATGCAGAGTCTTTGATGACTTCTCTGGGGACCACACTAAGGCATGGTCTTCGACTCGACTCTCAGATGCCGAGGCGAGGGCATTCAGAAGTCGAGGATCATCCCCCCATGGCTGGGCTCTTCCGATGCTTAAAGGGGTCCCCAGCCTACTGGCACCCCTGGGTTGCTAAAGTGGACTTCGGGCTTGCATGAGCCAGTTCTGAATCCAACCTCGTAAGGGTTTCAGGAGTGAGCGGTTCGGGGGCCCAGGACTTCCCAGTGCCTAGACTTAAACGGTTTTCACTTCTACCCTTTAGACTTTGCTCGATCTCCAAACCCTGAAGCCCCAACTTTAGCCTTCAGCCCATCTCCACCCAGGAGCTTCTCAACGCCCAAAATTTCGTTGTGTGGTGGTGGAGCTTTTGCCCTAAGTCGGGGTCCTTTAGGCCCTCTTCGTCCCTTTGCATGTCAGAGGTGTGCACACCTACCAATACACCATTCTCTCTGGGGAGTTGGGTGCGGCGGATGGAGCAGGCAGGCGGTTGTGGTCATGCGAGCTTCGGTGGATGCCTTTCCCTGTGTGAGACGGGTCTTCTCTGGCAGAAAGAGGTTTCGAGTGTTTTTGGTGGGGTCCGTGGAGTTCGGGGCTTCTTGGAGGCTTCTGGCCTCAGGTCCGTTCCGCTCTCGAAGGAACGAAGCTCGCTCCTTACGCAAAACATCGTCCCCCATGGCTCTGAACCTCTCCCACAGCCCATAGGTGTCCAACATGGCCTCAAACCCTGCTATTCACCCGACCTCCAGCCGAAACCCCCCTGCACGCCGCGGAGGCTTCGTGTTCGATTCGAAAGTTCGCCGCGACTCCTTTCGCAGAAAGTGATTGAAGTTCCTTTGGGTTTGTGGTTTGTTGTTGGAGGGGTTGTGGGGCGTGAGTCTGGCTGTGTGTTTTGGGTGCAGGTTGCTTCTGACACCGGTACCGGTACCCTTGGTAGTACAGCGACAATTGCAGAATCCCCCGATTGTTTGCAGCCAGGGCCTGAACGTGTTTGAGTCTGTCTGAGATTGACGGGTTGGGGGGTTACTCGAGGGGCATCTCTTGTTTAGACATGAGGTTTCACGTCCATGGCATCCATGGGTGCTTGAGTCGTCCAAGCCCCAACTCCCCTAAGCCTAAGTTCGAAGCTTCCCAAGAAATCCAAATGCCAACCTATACACCTAATGTGTGCAGCTACTCCAAAACACAAGACGGTCTAAGCAAGCGACTCCATGTTGTCATGTAGGGGTTGTGATTACCCTTGTTTCGAGTAATCATGTTTCGAAGGAGTGCTAGTGCTGTGTTTGGTGAGAGCCCTTGCTGTGCTTTTCGAGTCTCAGGCAACAACATCCAACAGATGCGCACGGTTTTCTTGAACCAACGAGGGGCCCGGTCCTCATGCTCCGCCGGGCTTATCCTTTCCGAGTTAGGACAGTTAGGAGAGCAGAAGCAAAACTCAGACAGAAGTCCCACGATCGCGACGTGGGAGTATCGATCTTTGGTAGCCCCGGGGGGAGTACGTCCTGCACCATGAAGACTCCAACCAAAGAGCCGACACTCCAACTTTGGGGAGCAGATCAGATCAACACCTGTAGCTGCAGCCTCTCACCCGGGGCAGCCAAAAGATCCAGGTCATCTGCATTCGCGACCGTCAGAATGTGCGCAAGCTGAAGGTGCAGCTGATTGGGTTTGCAGTATTCGATCAGGAATCCTGGAGTTCTGAACGCTGCTTCCAAAAGAACTTTTTCATGAGTTCAGTGGTACCGTACTGCTGTTACTGCTAATGCTACTTTTTCTGCTACTGCTGCTGCTGCTGCCACTGCTCTTGCCTCTGTCCCTGCCCTGCTGCTGCTCCTGCTCCTGCTCCTGCTCGTGCTCCTATGTGCTCCGGCTGCTGCTGCTGTTACTGCTGCTGT